TGCAGCACCTGTTCCAGTAGAGTCTGTAAGCTACGCAGATCTGAAGAAGCTACTGAAGGAGCACTTCCACCCCAAGATGTCCGTCATCGCATGGCGCCACACCTTCGAGCAGAGGGATCAACGGCCCGGTGAGTCGGCCAAAGAATTCATCGCCGCATTACGGAAGGCCGCCAAGCACTGCGAGTTCAAAGACCTCGAAGAACGACTGAGGGACCGATTCGTGTGCGGGTTAAGGCATCGAGATCTACAACAGAGACTTTTCGCTAAAGAAGAATTGTCCTACCAAGACGCCTTAAGGGAAGTCACCGCAGAAGAAGCAGCAGGCGGCGCTGTCAAGAACATGCGGCCGATCAGAAACAGACCAGAGGTTGCATCCGTGCACCAGGAAGACGTCCAAAGAAACTCCGAGGAGGATCCGGACGAGGAAGTCGACCGTCTCCACTCCACGAAGGAAGAAAAACAGAAGGGAAGCTCTCCAGCTCCGCTCAAGTGCATCGGCTGTGGAGGTCGCCACAGGAGAACCGACTGCAAGTTCCGCTCCGCTACCTGCCGGGCATGCGGCAAACAAGGACACATTGCAGCTGTGTGTCTGGGCCGACGAAAGGTACAACCTCAGGAAGAACCGCGCCTGAAAGGTACCAGATTCCCCAGCCAGAATAGGGTAGGGTTTTGCGCTTCGCGAAGAAGCATCCTTAGGACAGGCACACACAAGCCAATTAAGAAAAAGCTGTCACTCAAGGTGAAGCTACAAGGGGTTCCATTATCTATGGAACTAGACACAGGGTCTGCCTTTTCAATTATCTCCTTGCATACATTTAGGAAGATTTGTTCCGGTAGTGGAACTCAGGCCAAGTTAAGGCCTTCTGACATTGGTTAACAGATTTTCAAAAATTCAAGAGTGTGTGTTAAGGGGGAGGCCACCTTAACGTGCAATACAAGAGTTTTGAAGGTCCACTAGACTTATTAGTAGTAGGGGGTGAACGAACGAGTCTCATAGGACTCGATTGGTTTGAGGCCCTGGGGATACACGTCACAGGACTCAACAGCTTACAAACACTCGACCTACAGGAAGTCTGCAAAGAATTTGCAGATGTTTTCAGCCCCCAGCTGGGCACATTCAAAGGACCACCTGTGTCCTTAAAGCTAGACCCCACTGTCACTCCCATTAGGATTAAAGCAAGAAGGGTCCCTTTTGCTTTAAAAAGTAAGATTGACACTGAGTTAGACAAACTGATCCAACAGGGAATCCTAGAACCTGTTGATTCCAGTCCATGGGAGACCCCCATTGTCACGCCTCTAAAGGCAAATGGGGACATTCGCATTTGTGCTGATTACAAATGCACTCTAATAAGGCATTGCAGCAACATGCCTATCCTGTTCCTGTGGTCAGTCATATCTGGCCTCCCTCAAGGGGGGGCGCGTTTTTGCAAAGCTTGACCTAGCTCAAGCATATCAACAGCTGCCTGTTGATGATGACACTGCTATAGCTCAGACTATTGTGACCCACAGGGGAGCCTTTAAGGTAAAAAGGCTGCAGTTTGGAGTGAATGTCGCTCCTGGGATTTTCCAACAGCGTAATGGAAAACACACTGCGAGGCATACCAGGGGTTCTGCCCCTACTTTGATGATGTCTTAATTGCAGGAGACTCCACACACATTCTAGCTGAAAGGCTAAGGGCTGTCCTGTTAAGATTCAGGAAATCAGGCCTCAAGCTCAGAAAAGACAAATGCAAGATTGGGTTGCCTTCTACTGAATTTCTGGGATTCAAAATTGATGCTGCTGGGATTCATCCTGCGGAATCCAAACTGACTGCTATTTTTAAGAAGCACCTAGGCCAAAGTCCAAGGCCGAACTTCAGGCCATCCTGGCCTCCTGATTTCTACATTCTTTTCTTCCACAAAAAGCTAGTGTAGCTGAGCCCTCTTCACCGGCTACTAGACAGCAAGCAGTGGTGGCAGTGGTCCAAACCATGAGGGTTGTTTTCAACAACGTCTGCGTTTGCTCACTTCTAACAGTGTACTTGCACATTCAAACGGAGTCTCTCCTGTGTGCATCTGCTTGTGATGCTCCCCTTACGGGGTTGGAGCTGTCCTGATCCACCTCATGGGTCTGATGGAACTCAGGTTCCCTGTTTGCATATTACTCCAGAACATTGTCTTCTGCTGAGCGCAACTACGCTCAGATAGACAGGGAGGCTCTGGCTGTTGTTGCTGGAATTAAAAAATTTCATGACTTTCTATATGGCAGGCACTTCACGGTCTTCACTGACTATAAGCCTCTGCTGGGACTGTTTACCACACGTAAGCAGACTCCCCAAATCATTTCCCCTAGAATGCTTAGGTGGTCTATCTTTTTGTCTGCATATGATTTTTCCTTACTCCACAAGCCTGGAAAAGAAATGGGACATGCTGATGGCCTCAGTAGATTGCCTCTGCCAGTAGTAGAAGCTGACCCTGCGCCAGCTGTCAACATTCTATCAATCCAAGCCTTGCCCGAGCTCCCGCTTAGTGCCAGGGATGTTGCCGCTGAATCAGGTACAGATCACACACTTTCACGTGTCCGTTCCTGGGTTTTGTCTGGTTGGCCTGAGCACTGCCCTAGTCCTGAGTTTCAGTGTTTCTGGTCCAAAAGGAACGAGCTGTCCCTTTCTCAGGTTGTCTGCTTTGGGGAAACAGAGTTGTCATTCCCACCTCAATGAGGACTAGGGTCTTAGAATCCCTCCACGAGGGTCATCCTGGCATTGTTCGTATGAAGGCCCTTGCGCGCAGCCACTTGTGGTGGCCTGGTTTAGATAAAGATATTGAGGCTAAGGTGCATGCATGCCACTTGTGCCAACGATCTCGCCCAGAGATGCCCCAAGCTCCCGTGCATAGATGGGAGGAAACGCAGTCCCCATGGTCTAGGGTGCACATTGACTACGCTGGGCCCTTTCAGGGCCAGTTCTTCTTGGTCCTTGTTGACAGCCATTCGAAATGGCTTGAGGTTGTACCTGTCTCATCTACCACCACTGCAAAGACTATTCAGGTACTGAGGGGGATTTTTGCTGCACACGGGCTGCCAGATGTCATTGTGTCCGACAACGGCCCTCAATTCACTTCCTCCGAATTCCAAGCTTTCTTACAGGCTAACATGATTCGTCATGCCACGTCTGCACCCTTCCACCCGTCCACCAACGGTATGGCTGAACATATGGTGCGCATCACAAAGGACGCATTGAAAAGACTCACCTACGTGGACTGGCATCACAGGTTGGCTGACTTTCTCCTTTCTTATCGCACCACACCGTCCACTTCTACAGGGAAAAGCCCAGCTGAACTTCGTTGGGGGCGTCAACTTACTACTAAACTTGACCGGTTGCATCCGGACAGACTGCCTTCATCTACCTCACATCCTAGGGCATCTAGACAACTACTTGTGGGTGCCCCGGTTTGGGCTCGCAATTACGGGCCTGGTCATACATGGGTCCCCGCTTCTATTTCCAGGGTCACAGGTCCTCTCTCCTACGAGGTAGCCCTGGACAACGGTCGTGTCCTGTGTCGGCACATCGACCAACTCCGCCCTCGGCGGGACTTTTCAGATGAGACTCCTGGGTCTTTTCCAGGGGGGGAGGGGGACCCTTTGGAGCAAAGGGAAGGGCATGAGCTGCTGCCCATCTCCACTGATGGAGCTACAAACGGCCCATCCCAGGGTTCCGCGAGAGCTCCGAACAAGAATTCTACGAGCCTACCTAATTACCAGGCATCCACGCCTACTCCAGCCAGGGAGTCACCCCGGGGGCATACTCACTTTCCACACACATCACACAGCACTCCAGTCACGAAGGATACCCGGGGGCATCCCAACAAATCATTCCCCGCAAGAGAGCTGGCACACAATCCCCAAGGTTGGCCTGACCTTACCCCAAATCCTACAGGGGGTCAAACATACAGGGAGGTGGTCGAGGAACCAAGTTCCGACTACAACACCTCTAGCCCAAATCAGGGAGTAACTGAGTTTTGGGAAAGTACAGAACCCCACACAAGCCCGGACACAGAACGGGGTTCAGGGAATGGACAGCCTCCTGACAGGTCTTGGATGGACCTAGGAGGTTCAACAGAGACGCCCAGCAGTGGCTATCACTTCAAGGGGTCCGAGGGTCTACAGCTAGGCAGGTCAACCAGGTCACAAAGTGACAGAAGCCCTGGCCTGACGAGCCCGGTGGGCGAGCAAGCAGGCCAGGCAGCAGGGCACAGTCCTTGGAAGGCACCAAGGCAAAATAAGGAGAACAGGCTCACATCTCCCTCCAGTCAGGGAACTCATGCTAGTAACCCAGAGCTGAGAAGGTCACAGAGAGCAAAGAAGTCTCCTAAATACTTAGCGGATTACATAACATTGCTGGCTAAACAAAAGCCAGGTAACGATAGGAGCACTGAGAAGCAGAACACTGCATAAAATAAATGATTATATGTTGGTAGTAGTTTTAGCCCGGGGGAAAGGGGTGTTATGTCCCGAGCCTTGCAAACCGCTCGGGCGTTTGCAGGCAGTCCCGGGCAGGTGCAAAGCTGCCCGGGACCAGACAGGCTGTCGCAAGCGCTGTGCGCATGCGCGGGTGCTGGCGCAGGAAAAGTATCGTATTTACCCAGGAAATGTCTATATAAGAAGTTGGGAGGTTTTGGGAGCTGCAGAAGCCATCTACTTGTAAGCTGAACGCAGAATAAAGAAAATTGAGAACTTCAACTGCTTCTCGTGTCTGCTTCCTGCCACGGACTCAACACTTACCACACACAGACATCTAAGAAAGTGCAAAAAGTTCATTTCAAAACTGCATGGTTGTTTTCTTAGAAATGTCCTCTTATTTCCAAGACAAATTCTAATAGCATGAAACACCCAACGAAGAATGCAAAAAGGATTAATAAACCAGGTATGTGATTTATTTAATTATTAATGAAGGCTTCCAGCATTGGTCCTGGTTGTCATGGCAATTAGGACTGCTGCTAGCTTCCAGAAAACATAAAAGAACAGCAAGTGCAAGGCCGCACATTCCTTTTAGTCTTGCTGATTAGCCAGGCTGTCAAAAGAAAGGAAAGGAAATCAACAGTTAGAAGACAAGATCTACAAAGAGAAGAAACGTACAGCGAAACTGCTCACAAGCTGCAAATGTAAGTACTCTTTATTTTCAAAAAAAAAGTGTACATTGGTTATTTCAGAAAGAGAGAAAAGAAATGTCTGGTGCTAAGAAATAAGCTGTTCCACGTCAGCAGCATTGCATCACAGTCAACCAGAAACTTCTGTTGTCAATGGAAATGTAATTCTGAATCTTGAGTTTTGTGCTGCTTTACTATGAAAAGATTTATAAGGTCTTCTAAATAAGAACAAGCTTTTTTCACATCCAGATGTAGAGGCTTGTACAAAATAAATGGCAATCCAGAATTGTTGCTGTAGGATGTATGTATCTATGGTTATTTAAGATGATTTATAGGAACAAAAACCAGTATCCCATCACCTCTCTCCTGTAGTCAACTGCCACCCCAAAAACACTTTTTGAAATACTATGGGATATGGAGAAAGGCTGCTGGAAGAAGAGTAAATGGGAAACATTTTTTTTCCATTAACTTCCTTAGCGATCTTCTACAGATTTAGCCAAAGAGAACTTTCCTTAGTTCAGCTGAGATCAGTCATAGGCTGATGGGTATCAGACAGCAATTGTCTGAGGCTCTAAGCCTGATTTGATGTGTCTTTAAGCTGTTCCACGTCAGCAGCATTGCATCACAGTCAACCAGAAACTTCTGTTGTCAATGGAAATGTAATTCTGAATCTTGAGTTTTGTGCTGCTTTACTATGAAAAGATTTATAAGGTCTTCTAAATAAGAACAAGCTTTTTTCACATCCAGATGTAGAGGCTTGTACAAAATAAATGGCAATCCAGAATTGTTGCTGTAGGATGTATGTATCTATGGTTATTTAAGATGATTTATAGGAACAAAAACCAGTATCCCATCACCTCTCTCCTGTAGTCAACTGCCACCCCAAAAACACTTTTTGAAATACTATGGGATATGGAGAAAGGCTGCTGGAAGAAGAGTAAATGGGAAACATTTTTTTTCCATTAACTTCCTTAGCGATCTTCTACAGATTTAGCCAAAGAGAACTTTCCTTAGTTCAGCTGAGATCAGTCATAGGCTGATGGGTATCAGACAGCAATTGTCTGAGGCTCTAAGCCTGATTTGATGTGTCTTGTTTTATTCTTGAGGAACCTGCCATTTCTTATCTCACTTTCTTTAGAAAACCCCTATCCTGACTTGTAGAAGCACAGGGGTAAAAAAGGATCTCCCTAATAAAATAGTAGGATTATAGTTTGCTTCACTTATATAACTTCCAGCTCTACTAATATAGTCAAAGTGCTATTCTATGCAGTTATTTAGCTCTGAAATGGCTGTAATTAAAATGAATATTTTATAATTTTTTTGAAAAATTACAAAATTGATTGTAACAAATAGAGATTTTTATAAGTATTTTTCTGGAAGAAAGTCCCTTTGAAGTCAATAAGACCTATCATGGACTAATTTGGACTGCTTTCAACAACATGAGCTTTAAGTAGGGTTGTACTATTATTTTTTCGGTCTGTTTAATGGATTAAGTTAATAAGAATATGACCAAAATAAAGTTGGTGCCCTGTTAAGTGTGCCCTGAATAGATGATAAAAAGTAAGTATATTATGCAATAAATAGATCATTTTCTATGATATGATTTCTATGGCATGATGTGATACTTGTGTCTATTGAATAGACACAAGTATCACAATGAAATAAAATTAATTCTATAAGAATTATTGATACCATATTCCAGTTTTAGAACATTTTTAATGTTGCTTTTCTTGAATTATTTGCCAACTGCTAAATAAATCCTTCAAACAACATGAAAGAAAAAGCAAAGTAAAATTGAAATATGTTCCAACTGATTGCAGAACAGAAGGAATTCCCAGCAAAACTCAAAGTGCTCATTTTCACCTTTCAAAACTTTTTCCTACATACTGCAGTGAAGGTATATCGATGAAAATCAGTTATGTCAGTTTAAGCCACAACTACAAATACTTAGAGCTGCCAGATTTGGGAAGGGGGGGGGGAACAGGGAGGGAGGTTTGTTTTCTTTGTCTGTAGATAAATGTCTTGAGGAATTACTAAGGAAGCTCTGTTTCTTGCCCAGATGAATTTATCCTATGCTGTAAATACACAAAGAACCCAACTTCAAACTTCGATGAAGTTCCTATGAGAATAGATGCTATGCTAGCCAGAGTTCATGAAATACACCAAAATTTAGGATTAAATTTGAATATAGTTGCTGTTTACTATTAGATAAATAGATAGATAAAGATATAAAATTATTGGGGATAGCAGATGATGCTATACTATTGGATAAATAATATTTAATATAACTAAATTGTGAAAAGGCAGTCCAGTTGCAGTTTTTTTCAACATCCAGAAACTCTGTACCTACTAATTTAAAATTTTATTTCAGTAATCTTCTGAAATAAATATTTAAGATTTATATTTGTTGGCATTAGCAATTAACCCTACATCAAGCAATTTTTAAAATGTGCTATAAAAATATATTTTAAGGCCTATTGAAGGATACTTTGTTAGGTGTTGCACTTCACTATACAATAAGTTAGTTGCCATTTTTTCAATATGCCGTTCAGTGATTAAAGTTTCCTGGCATTTTATATTAAATCTTTTAATTTTGAATACCTAACTTGCTCAATCTCAGCTTAAAGGTCTTCCACTATCGGTACAAATATTTTGTGGGAGTGACAGGCTGCTATGATACCACATGCTTTAAAACAAACATTGGCATTTGCAAGTTTATTTAAAAGAAAACTAATTCCAGGAACTGAATATGAGGCCTGTTTTTTTCCTATATATCTTATCTAATTTTTAAAAGAATACTGTATTATTTTAAAATGTTTTTAAGCATAATAAACTATTGTGTGATTAAACTATGACCTAAGCATCTATATCAAAAAGCATAGCTACGATTACATAATGTTCTAAAAAAAAACATTGCCACTATGATGTCACTATGAGGTGGGCAATAGTGTAAAGAAAATGAAGAGAATATTTTAAATGAATCAAAAATATGTTTTACTCTTCACCTATGGGTCAGGGAGGAGTGTTAGGGGTCAGTATACTTAAGAAGGGTGCATGGGGAGGGTTGCAAGAGTGTGTGAGAGGTGCTGCCTGGCTTGGGACAGCGTACATAGAATGCAAGTCAGGAAAGGTGCCTGGGGGTGTGCAAACAGTGCCATGTAGGTCATGGAAGGTGCAGAGGAGGGAAGGTGTGGAGTGAGGAGGTGCGCAAGAGGTGCTGCATAGGTTGGGGAAAGCATGAGGGGACAGTGCAAAGCGGAGTGGGTGAATGGGGTGTGCATGATAGAACAGAATAATAATACATGGGATGCTGCTTGTTTGGAATAAGACTGAAGTTGGTGACCTTCAATCTCAACTCCCTTTTAAATTCTTTATACAAAGTTTACAAAAGAGTTGCAAAAACTGCCTACAGAAACAATGAAAATCTGTCTATCTCATGAAAGCTTTTGGATCAGCCCCCATCCATAAGTAGAAGACTACCCTTTTTGAAACATCATTGCAATGGGAATAAGTTCTGATTACTAGAAATTTGCCTGTAGAGGCAAAATACAATTCCAAATATTTCAGTCAAAAACTATAAATCAAGGATGTCACTGCTGTCTTAATTCAGTTAGTTATTTTCCAGCCATGTAACTTTTCCAAGAATGCATGGAAAATAAGGTAACAGAATGTTACGACTGTTTTAGAAAATGATTGAATGGGGTTACTATTGTACTTTATTTTTAAAAAAGCTGTTGTGTAGATATTTGGGTTTCCTGGGTTTTTCCTGGGTTTCTGTATTTTCTAGTGGGCTGGAGAATTCTACTAGTCACCAGCCTGTGAAAAAATCAGCGCAACTACCATACTATTGATACAAAACTGATGCCTAGTGTACATTGTCCCTTGCTCTGGGTCTGAAGTTATATTTCGCAAACCCCTTGTAGATTATATCTTTATTATTGTATTTTTTCTTTTAGTTTTTAATGCATTATCTTTTCTTACATCCTGCCAGCCTGGAATGGAGTAGCATAGAGATTTTAGTAATAATAAATAAATAAAGCTTATTTGTTTTTCAGATCCCCTGAAGTAGCTGCATATGGTCCTTACATATACTTATATAAGACATGTTTCACTATAACAGTCTTTGAACATCTCTGACCATTACCAGGCAAACAGATATGCATCAAGCTTAACCTCAAGAAAAGTTCTGGAAAATTGGTTCCAGGCACATCTTTCATCTGATTATTATATTTAAGCCTGCAAGAGAGTTATACTGAAACCTACAAAGGAAGGAATACAGCTCTGCATTAATATTTGGACGTATCCAGCCTTTTTTTAAATCCTTGCAATGATCTTATCAATTAGATCACTCTTTCCCTCAAATTTACAAAATGAGAAATGAAACTAGAAGACAGTGACTTACAGTCCCGATGGAAGCAAAAATGAAAAATGGGAAAATTCCATTAAAGAAATAAGGATTTCGGCTTGAGTTTAATCCATTTCTGTGCTGTAAAGAGGATAGAATAAATTTCCAAGAACTATTGAACCCAACTCTCAACCATTTTATTGTACTCCCACATATAAATGGATGTTGTTTTGCTTTGGAGCAAAACCCGTTTTCTGATTTAAGTAAGTGAGGGCCTAGAGCTATCAGTGCCACAAGAATTATGGCTTTTTCAGCCCACAGGAATAATCTCTTTTTGATTGGTCTGTTAAGCTTCTGTGTAGATAGTTTTATGTGCAGTGAAAAAAATAACACACTTATTTTTACCAAAGAAAATACAATTCGTAAATGCATGTGTCCTCCTGATACGATTAATGATTGTGATTATAGCCTGGCAAATCTAATTTGTAACTGTAAGACTGTTTTGCCCTATACAGTAGACAAAACCTACTACGATAATTTGGTAATTTGGTTCACTGAAACTGATATATTGAGAATCTTGTTCAATGTTACATCTGTGCACAATCTAAAACTCTCACTCTGTGGCACTATTCCTTTGACGACAAAATATTTGACTATTTGGGGATTACAAAAATTACAGATAAGAAGTGAGAATAATAGCCAAATAAAACAGCAAAGTTTAACAATCTCTACTAGCTGTGACAATGGAGCCCAAGGCAAGTTGAAGATGTCATACAAAGACAAAAACATGATTACTCATGTTGCTGTTTTAGACACATCTCTTTTCAATGGCAGTGGTCCATTGAAATCATACAGTGTAGAAAATATTTCCAACATTTCAGACCAGTTTCCACATTTGGACAACTTTTTTACTCCAAGTAACAAAAGTTGTATCATAACATTCATTTATTAGCACACAAATTTTGGCCATTTCTATAATGTAGAAATTATAAAATGAGTCATCCTGAGATATTGTAGAAACTAAGCTTCTGTTGCTCCTTATATTACAAAAATAAAAAAATAAAATAACAGGGAGATAAATTACCTTTAGTCATAATAGCTCCTATTTCAGTATAATCTATAGCAGCGGTTCTCAACCTATGGGTCGTGACCCCATTTGGGGTTGATCGACCATTTCACGGGGGTCGCCAAGCAAGGCTGTCCGCCATTTTTTTCCCCTTTCTGATGGGTGCCTTACCTCCATTGAGCTGGGCCAGCTGGTGGCCCAGCTGGTGGTCGGCCTGCTCTGTCTCTGCCACTTGCCAGCTACGCCTCGTCCGGCGCAGGGGGCGGCACCACGCATGCATGGCGCTCCTGGGCAGAGAAAGTCCTTGACTTACGACCAGTTTAGTCCTTGACTTACAACCGGTTTAGTCCTCGACTTACAACCGGTTGGGGGTCGCGGCATTAAAAAGGTTGAGAACCACTGATCTATAGAATGCTATAAAAATCAAGCCTTTAATGCTGATAAACAATTATTGTTCAAGTAATGTTACATTAAAAATGTAGGCTAATTTATTCCATATAGGCATATGGAAGTTAAGATTTAATTCTTCTGAGAAATGTACCTTTTGAGTTGCATATAGCCTTCCTGATACTTTCTGTGTGCCCCTTTGAGTCAATGTTGACTTTTGGCAAGTACTCTGGACAAGTCCCTGTAGTTTTCTTGGCAAAATTTTGGAAGTGGTTTGCCATTGTCTTCCTCGTAGGACTGAAAGAGAGTGGCTGACCAAAGGTCACCCAGTCTTGATGACATTTGTGATCCTTTGTGTCTATAGTCAGATTAAAACTCAAAGTGTTCCAGTTTCTAGCTTCATGCCTTTAATCACAACATTAGCACTCTATTTTTATACCAGTCAGAAAAGAAATTCTTCTATTAAGCAGTTTCTTCACTGAGTCTGAATGGTTATACAATTACAGAGCAAGCCAGGCCGTTATTCCATTATTTGAAACTGACTTTATATTGTACTTGTTCCAAAATTATTAATATTTGTAAGTCTGAACAAAATAAGAGACAATAGTTAGTAAGCCATGTTTGTTTGTCAGCTCATAAAGGTAAAATTGGTGTGTGGCCAAAAATGTCTTTCTATGAACCTGGTTTTCCCATTGCCAAATTTGCACAATTCAATTTACTATATGTTTACAAAATCAATATATTTGATAGTAATTCCTAGCAAATATTCTAGTCCTAAAAAAAATATTCTAGTCCTGGAAAACACCTTTGATATATCAGGCAAGACTTAAAAGAAACCATTTAAATATAAGTATACTGATCTAATAAATCCTTTAAATTAGAGAATAATATCCCTAAAAATGATTTTTTTAAAAAAAAATTCTGGATTTCAACATTTCAGCAAGTTTCATTGTACACTGTAAAATGTAGATATAAAAACGTTGCTGTTTTGTAGAACAGAAAAATTCTCCAGAATCTTTTTATTCCTACTGTATCACACATGGCCACAGATGTTTATTAAAATTTCATTCTAAAATCACATAATTCTGAATTTATAAACATTCTTGAGAACATATTTGAAAAATGCACAAATCTGCTTTTGCATAATGGATTGCATTGGCACATAATTAAAATGTTTGCATTAAAGATTAGTATTACTTAAAATGGAATTGACTAATACCTTCTAAAATAATCTGGTTAAAAGCTAGTGTTGTATGAGTGGACTTATAAGTATACAATGAACCCTGTTACTTCTACTACAATCCCATCCTATCTTTTAAAAATGTTCATTTTTCTAATGAAAACCAGTCAGGGAAGACACGTTATTAATTGCAATACAATTCATTAGAAATTATTAAAAATATAAGTACCATATTTAATCCCACATAAAATATTCAGACCATATGTTACAGATGCAATGTTTGTAAAGAATCCCATAATGATATGTTCCTTATTCCTGTATTGATGTATCAACCCCACTTTTCAGTCAGCCACATTAAAAATCTTTCTAATCAACATGTAGGTTGAGGGTAGGCAAACTCAGTTACCTGTAGTCTTCAGCCCGTTAGAAAACAAAATTATACATATTCAATGCCAGAAAATATATTGGAGTAATAACTAGAATAATTAAGGTAATGCTGAAGTTTGCTTAACTAATGCATTTCAATGAAAGAAATAACTAGTAACTAGTAAAAACCCAGAAGGCAGGACTTACTGCAGATGGTTATGTGGTAATTATTACTGAAAGGCACTGAAATTTTAGAAAGGCATAATTAAATCCCATAATAAGGAAAAAATGACCCAAAGATTCTGTAGCTATGTGCGTAACTTATATTTCCCAGAAAAATGTCAAGAACTACTGGAATAGGAGCTATGCTGTTGGCTCAACAGTAGTAACTGCGAGACGGATCTTGGAATTCTAGTTGATCATCACTTAAATAAGAGCCAGCAGAATGCTGCAGCCACCGAAAAAAACAGTGCAATCCTAGATTATATTAACAGAGGGATAGAATCAAGATCATGTGGAGTGTTAGTACTACTGCTTTGGTAAGACCACACTTGAAATATTGCATCCAGTTTTGGTCACCTCAATATAAAAAAGATGTTGAGGTTCTGGAAAGAGTGCAGAGAAGAGAAACAAACATGATTAGGGGATGGAAGCTAAAACATATGAAGAATGGTTGCAGGAATTGGGTATGTCTAATCTAGTGAAAAGAAGACCTAGGGGTGACATGATAGCAGTGTTCCAATATTTGAGAGTCTGCCATGAAGAACAGGAGGTCAACCTATTTTCCAAAGCACCAGAATGCAAGACATGAAGCAATAGGTGGAAACTAACCAAGGAGAGAAGCAACCTAAAAATAAGGAGAAATTTCCTGCAGTAAGAACAATAAACCAGTGGAACGGCTTGCCTTCAGAAGTTGTGAATGCTCCAACAGTGGAAGTTTTTAAGAAGAGGCTGGACAATCATTTGTCTGGAATTGTATAGGGTCTCCTGCTTGAGTAGGGGGTTGAACTAGAACAGGGCTTTTCAACCTTTTACCCATTGTACCACTTTTAGGATATGGCAACATCTGAGTACCACCAGTTGCCTAGCAAGGGGTCAGAAACCTGATGACCAAAAAAAAAAGAGAGGAAAAAAGTGATAAAGTACAGGCAGTCCTCGACTTACAACAGTTCGCTTAGTGACTGTTTGAAGTTACAATGGCACTGAAAAAAGTGCCCTCCAAGCCACAGCCGTGCAAGACACTTGCCTGCCCACCCGGTGACGCTCTTCCTCCTGTCCGAGGTTTTCATTGTTATGAGCATTTCTGTTGAGAATTGGCAGTGGGGGTGGGGTGAGGGGTGTTTGGTTTTTATTCCCCTCGTCTGCTGGGTGGTTGCAGCAGGTTTTGGTCACTTCACATGACCCTGGGACACTGTGACCGTCATAAATATGAATCAGTTGCCAAGCATCTGAATGTAAATCACAAGATCCTGGCAATGCTGCAACATTCCAGCTGATCGGCGCTTCTTCTGGGCTCAACAGAAAGAAGCACCAGGATCAGTGCTGCTTTTCAGCTGATTGGTGCTTCTTCAGGGTTCAGCAGAAGCACCAGGATCAGCGCCAAGCTCCAGATGGACCCTGGCGCTGATCCTGGCGCTTCCATTGAGCCCTGACAGCCCCAAAGAAGCGCCAATCAGCTGGAAAGCGGCACTGATCCTGGTGCTTCCGCTTAGCTCTGACAGCCCTGCAACTCCAGCCATCTCTTGCTCAGGCTTGTGTGGTGCTGCCACCGGTTCAGCTCATTCCCCTCCCCCGCTACCACTTTTCTAGGATGGTCGCATACCACCTGCCAGGTGCCAGTGTACCACAGGTGATACCTGTACCACTGGTTGAAAAGCCCTAAACTAGAAGACCTCCGAGATCCCTTATTCCAGGGGTGTCAAACTCAATTTCATTGAGGGTCGCATCAGCATTGTGGTTGTCCTTGGGGGGCCGGATGGGTGTAGCCAGGGTGGGTGCGGCCTACCTGGTGGGTGTGGATGGAGTGGGTATGGCCTACTGGGTGGGCGTGGCCAGCTCTATATCAAGCTGGATATGTGAAGTAGGTGAGGGCCATTTGCTGGCCACTTCCAGGTGATGGTGCATTTTTTCATTCCTCACAAAAGGCGACACCTCCCCAGCATGCACCTAGGGGGTGGGGCCGATGTGGCAGGGGCTGGTTCCTCACTGTTTCCAGACGGCCTTGTGAAGCTAAGACTGAATGCGTTTCAGCATAGATGGCCGCCACAAAATTGTACATTGGCTCCTGGCTCCAATCCGTACATTGGCTCACTGTTTCCAGGATGACTTCGCAGGCCACATGAAACCACTTTGCGGGCCATATCCGGCCCCCGGGCCTTGTGTTTGACACGTCTGCCTTATTCTGTCTTAATGCATTACATTCAAATATTATTGTACTGATTACATATAAAAGCACAGAGAAAACGATTCTATTTTAAAAATAAGAATAAACTTTGAATTATGATTTAGACATGTGATGATCTGAACATCAGAAATTAGATTTTATACCACTAATTCTTTAAGCAAAAATGTAAACAAAGAAAAATGAGCAATGTTATTAGAAAAAGGTTTAATATTTTTAATCATCATCAGTGAATGATTGTTTTAACTTTGTTGCATACTCCTCAGAGTCATTTGTTTTGTGAGATAGACACCTACATAAATTTGAAAAATAAATAAACACCAAAGAAGTATTCCATATCCTGCCAAACTTTTAAAGACGTGATGCCTTAAACTCACTTTATGTAATATAGTATACTTACTTTAGTTATGTGCATAATTTAAGATGCAACGTTTTTGTATAAGATGAACACATGAATTGTATTTCCATGATTAAGACAAGTGTATATGTGCACCATATATGACAGATCTATTAACTGTATGCAAAGGAGTTTGTTAATATGTTACATGAGTGATTGAGGACATTTAAAAATGATCTTATTGATCTAGCAGAATGTATCTAAGAAAATATTTAAAAACAAAACTGAAATAAAAAGAAATATTCTATTAATTACACTTTGATATCAATATTATATTTTTTGTCTTCATAAAAAACCAAGGACATTAGAAAAAAGGAATTGCTGAGATTACGTAGAAATATTGTACAATGAAGTTTTCAGTTTTGAGTTGATTACTTAGTATTAAAATTTCCATAGTCTATATGTGTGTGTGTGTGTATGTGTGTGTCTGTGCGTGTATAAAAAAAAGTAAAGAAAAAATACAGTAGATAAGCAATACAAATTTAACAGGAATTTAAAAAACTAAAAGATAATTTTTAAAAAAAAATAGAAAAAACTATTAGGTTTCCAACTATTCACTTTTTGTAGATATGATAATTTATATTGTAGATATTAAAAGCCATACTGTGTTTCTATTTGCCATCCTGTGTGCTGCATTATATGTATGGGAACCAGTCTTGCTTAAATTTGATTAAACCTCTATTGTGTATGTATACTAGTTTTGCCACTGCAGCATAATGGGCTGCAGCATATTCTCAAAGTTTAAGCTCCCAATCAGATAAAAATAAAAATATTCCCAATTCTACAGTCATTACTGTATTTTTTTCCCCAATGTTAAGCAAAATGTTAAGCACGTATCTCATTATGTTTTTTTTCTGAGATTATATCTAATAAAAAAGGTTGTGATTTCATTACCAATTTAAATTCCACAATGTTCTGCATTGTACTCTGTATATCTTTCCAGTGGTTTGGGGTTATTTTACATGTACACCTCATGTAATAAAGAGTTCCTTCTATTTCATGGCATTTCAAGCATTTGTTATAGTATGATTTGTCTATCTCAGGTATTATCAACAGAGTTGTATTTTATCTGTAGAACGTTTTGTACCAATTTTCCTTTACGTTATAATTCATTGTAACATCTTATAGATTTAGTCCATAATTCTTCCCATTCTTGTGTTGTAACCATTCTTTAAAAACAAATCATTTTATCATACAGTTTCATGTATCTTTTCAATTGCCATTCTAAATGTTTTAATAATATCCATTATTTACTGATTTATCTTGGGTTTCTTGTGGGATTTAACTGCAGGGTATGAAATTGTTTCTCAGACAAAGATTTTATTTATACTGGGGTATTTATGCTATATAAAATGCAAAAAATATTCCAAAGGCAATCTCTAACTATATAGTTAGATAGAATTATATTTATTTCTAGATATATGGTCTTGGAGTTAGGGACTTTTCAAAAATCTTGTCTGATTGCTAAATTCCTTACATGATCCTATTGTATGAAGAAGAAATAGCAGAATAATCAGCAACTGAGTTTCTACTGCCCCCTAGTAACAAAAAAACAGGGTTCCAAATGTTATTAAAGCAGTGAAATATTATAATATGAATGGGAAACAGCAATTTATTCATTAAAAAAACCGTAAAACAAACTGTACTCTCTACTGCATTTAATATTGGGTAACACAGTACAATAAACAATAATGAAACAAAGTGTTTTTCATAGAAATGCACCAGAGCATACTGTAATGTATCTGTAAATTCTTCTCTTCAGAGTTGTATCTTTAATCAGATAGGACTGTGACTATTCTTTATCTTCCTTTTACTGTTTTCTTTTGCTAGCATGCCAGGTGTAACTTAAAACAATATTCATGCAATTAGATAGCAGCAATGCACTTGTTATTTCTCCTTATTGTCTCATGCATACTCTTCTTTTATATTCATTACTTTGCCATGATGTATGCATAAACCATGCATTAGAAACAAGTGGATTTTTTTCTTAAGGATTCAGCAAACAATTACCATTCTCATTTATTTTGGGGAATCAAAACAACATAATCATTTTTTCTGTACTCTTTCATCTTCTCAATTCTCAGTCATTACAATTCTCAGGTTGAGACGACTGATTGGGATGTCTGGGTGGGATGACTGATTCAAAAGTAACTCCCCACCAAAAGCCCTGAAATACAAAAAGTGCGTTATAAAATTTTAAGATAACATCTTGTTGCAGAGAGATGTCATTAAAACTGACATTATACCATCTACATTACCAAATTGATACCTATGGCAACTTTTGCAGTAAAAACTTGATATAGCAGCTATGCCTTCAATTTAATGGACATTACTCACTTAAATGAGAATGAAGTGAAAGCCTAACAGAAGCCCACTAAGCCTAGATTTTAGTATTGCACACTCCAATAAGTTGTAGCTTACTATTTTGTAACCAGCAATTTGTAAAATCCCTTGCTGCTTGTCTGGAAATTTACTACAGGTAATCCTCGACTTACAGCAGCTCATTTAGTGACCGTTCAAAGGTATAACATCACTGAAAAAGTGACATGACCATTTTTCACACTTACAACCATTGCAGCATCCCCATGGTTATGTGGTCAAAATTCAGAGAGTTGGCAACTGACTCATATGTATGACGGTTGCAATGTCCCAGGATCATGCACTCCTCTTTTGCAAACTTCTGACAAGCAAAGTCAATGAAGAAGCCATATTCAATTAACCAAGTTATTAATTTAACTGCAGTGATTCACTTAACAGCTGTGGCAAGAAAGGTTGTAAAAATGGGGCAAAACTTACTTAACAATATAAATTTTGAGCTCAATTGTGGTTGCAAGTGAAGGGCTACCTGTATGTTATTTAACATATTAAACCAAAAAAATATTTCAAAAATCCCCCTTTTCCTATTGGTTGTATCTTATGACTTATGATTGTTATCTTATGATTTATGAGTTATCACTTTGTTGCTTATACGTATGTATACTGAGAGCTTATGCACCGGAGACAAATTCCTTGTGTGTCCAATCAAGAATATTCTATTCTATTTTTCATTTCGTTATTAATATAAGGCAATCGATAGATCACAACGGCGACTTCGCGATCCTTCGGATCTCCCTCTTCATTAACATGACACTTCTCCCCCCGCCCCACTTTAGAAATTCTAAAGCCTTTCTTTCGGACATTTCTATACACTGGTCACTTTCCCGCCCTTCCACATCCGTTGCCAAGGGACCACTTACGTCACAGGTCTTCATCCCCTTTTCCCCCACCTACTTTTTTTCCCCCTCCGTCCCAAAATGGCCGATTTCTTCAATTACCCTCCCGGCCGTGACTCTTGTCTCAGTCTATGGTATAACGAGGCGCTCTAGCCAACAAGGCGAACTCGACGGTAGAGCCCTGTCTGATATTTCTTCCTCTGCCCATGACAGCGAAGAGAAAAATAGTCAAAAGCGGTGGCGTACGGTAGAGGGCGCTGTGATGTCTTCTAGGCTGTGACGCTGCTCTTGCTGCAGCAAAGGGGAGGGAGCGAGGAAGGACTCGCGGCGTGCGCGCTCTTGGAGCCGTTGCGGTAGTTGCTTTATCGCGCTCGTCTCCCCCCCTCCCCCGATTCTTCTTCAAACCTGCCCGCAGCGGCGGCAGTTTGGTCGAAGAAGAATGTTCCGCAAGGCCCGGCGCGTGAATGTGCGGAAGCGGAACGAGTCTGAGGACGACGATGAAGAGCGAGATGAAGCGTTACCGTCGCAGCCGCCACCGCCGCCGGGTGGTGATGGGCCTGCGGTAGAGACGGAGCTGCCAGCCCCTAAACCGCCGCTGCTGCCTCTGCCGACAGGCTGCGTCCCTCTGGTCTCCCCCTCCGTCGTCGCCGCCGCCTCCTCCTCCGGCGGAAACTTCGCTTTTAGCAGTGCTGAGGTGGTGGGCCGGGGAGGCCCCAATTTGCCGGCCCCAGAATTGCCGCCGGCCCCGATTGCGCTTGTGCCGCCGCCGCCTTCGCAGCAGCTGCCCCTGGGGAACAACGGGCACGTGTCTGCTGTTTCTAAGCTGAAGGAGCGGAAAAAGGGCAAAGAATCGGTCGCCGCGCCTGGGGTGCCCCGCGGAAGCCGCAGTCTGCTCAGCTTCCAGGACGAGGAAGAGGGTAAGCACGCGTGACCCCGGCTTTTGCAGGAACTCCAGGCCTTTTCTTTTTTTCTCCGGGGCCTAGTGCTTCATTTTTTTCTTTCTCGCCCTCCACCTCGAATACGAGCGCTTGTGCTGGTCACGTTAAAGCTCGATGAACTCGTTATTCAGAGGTACAGGTAGTCCTCGACTTACAACCGTTCGTTTAATAACTGTTGAAAGTTACAAGGGCACTAAAAAAACTCACGTTTACAACTATTGCAGTATTCTCGTGGTCACGTGATCAAAATTAAGACACTTGGCAATTGACTCATATTTATGATGGTCTCAGCATTCCAGGGCCATGTGATCGCCCTTTTTGACCTTCTGATCAGCAACGTTGATGGGGAAGACAAATTCACTTAACAACTGTATCACTAAATTAAGGACTGCAGTAATTCACTTAACAAATGTGACAAGAAAGGTCGTAAAATGGAGCAAAACTCACTTAACAAATGTCTCGCTTAACAGCAGAAATTTTGGATTTGTGGTCGTAAGTCAAGGACTACCTGTATTAGATTTCTCTAAACACACTACCTCAACTCCTGATTTTTTCTTATTTGAAACTCAGTTTTTTTCCCAAGCTAAGTTTCCTCTACTTGGAAGCATTAGAAAATAGCATAATCTATATCGAACTTGGAAACTTTTAAGTTTTGTAGACTTTCAACTCCCAGAATTTCTTAGGCAGCCTGCTAGCAGGGAATTCTGGGAGTTGATTCACACATCTTAATTGCCAAATTTGAAAAATACTGAACTACAGTATATGGATCTTCCTTTTCCAGGCAGGTGCCTTCTAAAACATTGGGCTCTAGTTCATATAACTCCCATTGATATGTCCACTACTGGGAGATACAGTTCAAAGTATTTAGAATTGTAAAGTGTGTGGAAAAATTCTGTCATTATGCATGTGTTTAGCAAAATTTAGGATTTATTATGCCTCAGATGTATGAGAATTGTTTTACAGGTGCATGGAAAAGAGGTGCTTGAGTTCCCAAAATTTCTTGGTTAAATATTGCTATTATCAATGAAAGGTCAGCCATGGGACTGGAAGGAGGATAAGAAATATACGTTTTGTTCTCAAAGAAGAGACCGAAAGTTAGCATAAATATTTGAGATGTTTTGGATTTCCAGGGAAATTGAAAAGAGCTCCACTTTGATAACTACAGCAGAATAAAGAGCTGGCCAATAGAACAGCTTTTTGTAATTCTTCCCATGACAAGGAGAGAACTTAGATCGCTCACCAGTGTTACATACAGTTGCTTCCTAAGGAAACCACAAGACAGCATTCTCGGATGGATTTAAAGGTCTGGGAGATAAAGGAATAACCATCTTGCTCAAGTCATAATTGGTCCCCTCAAAAGGACATTGTCCTCATATACTTCCTTATCTATTCACTTTCAGAAATTGCTTATTAACTGCTTTTTAGTTATTAGGAACTGTTGTGTCCACAAGTTGGAAAATGGTGTGTTTCCTTCAATCCTTTGCAAAAGAAGTTTTAAATACAGGTTTAATGTCTTAAAATATATATTTTTGGAATAAATAGCAAAAGAGAGATTAAAATTTCGATTTTGGAAAATTACAGAGTAAGTTACAGATAGATTTTAAATAAGATTTTGGAATCACAAAAATCCTTCCTGTGGAAAAATGTTTTTGTTTTGAATTCTTTAAAAAAAAATATGATAGGATGAGATTTTGAAGGTGGGACACTAGAGGCAACCAGAAGGAATGAAATATTACAATTAAGGTAGAAAAATGCTTAAATTTGATTTACTAACACAGTGATGGAATGTGCACCTGTAGGAATATTGAGGGAAAGTTTTGGCAACACAGCTTTCCCAGAGAGAGGCCTAAATCAAAAGGCCTTCAATCCTGAACTGGATGGGGAGAGGGGAAGAGGTTCAGGGGAGCCACACCCTAGAATCTCTCAGAATATATCTTTTGGTTAGATGGTTTAGTTTGGCAAGGCAGTTGAATTTGACAAATTCTATTAGATGTAAGCAAATAAACAACTGAACTTGTTCGGATTTTGCTGTATTGTCTCAGGCCTGACAAATACAGATTGAAGCAAAATATTTTAACATTGGACATATTGAAGGATATTTTTGAACAGTAGTCCCAAGAGTTACTTTTAAGAGTGCCTGCCTTTATAGACAGAATGTTTAAGATGTAATGGAAGAGGAACAATTTGTAACTGAGAGGACTGAGACTGGTCTGAAGGTGGATTTAAAAATAACAGGCTGCAAGAATGCTACCGAAAAAGATATTACATTGGACATACAAAAGAAACCAGCTTATATCTTAATTATTAAAAGAGATAAACAAAAATAAACCAAGAGAATGGCCTGGGTAATTTTCCTATATTGGATTCATAAAAGAGGCTTGTTAAAGCTTTGAAGAATTTTGTAAGAAGGGATAAAGAAAAAAAGGAAAAGAAATCAAGTTCTAATCTAAGCCATTATTTGAAGGGCCTAAAGATCAAGATTGTTAAAAGGAATATAAAGTTGGCTTATTTGATCAGCTTAAAATAGATATGTTGTTATTTCTGGTAATCCTCAATGGATTTATTGTCCTGGCTTATGTACTACTCATGTTTCTAGGCTTTGCTCAGTAAAGTTATGTTAGATCTGATGTTTTCATATCGCCTGTCAGCAACCTGATATATCCTGAAAAGTCTGTTCTCTACATTCCATAATCTCTTTAGGTTACACAAGTAGGAACTGAAGAACTGACCTTTTTTTGATACCTCATTGTTGTAGGATCCATTTTAAGAATCCTGTTTCTGTATTGTGAAGAATGTCCAAAATCATCTAAATCAGTGATTCTCAACCTGTGGGTCGGGACCCCATTTGAGGTCGAACGACCATTTCAGGGGGTTCACCAAACAACGCAGTCCGCCATTTTTCCCCCTTTTCCTTAGCTGTGCTACTCCCTGTTATTCTATTGGCTTTTGAAAGCCAATAGAATAGACTCTCTTGAATAGAGTCTAATTCTATTGGCTTTCAAAAGCCAATAGGAATTGTCCAGGCTGTCTCTGCCCTGCTGAGCCCGCCAAAAGTCCCATTCTGCAAACGGTGCTGCACCAGTTGAGTAGTCCTCGACTTACGACCGGTTGAGTAGTCGTCGACTTACGACTGGTTGGGGATCGCAGCATTAAAAAGGTTGAGAACCACTGATTTAAATATTACATTTTTTAAGCTATATAATTTTTGGTAGTAGTCATACCTGACCTATTACCAGGCCTATCACTACGAGATCCCTCTCAGTCACAATACTGAGATATCTCTTATGGCAATGGCAGGCACCAACATTCCTCAAACTTCACAAGATACCTCTATCAGTCCCCCTGGACGTAAGAGGTCAAAATCATCCAACCAGGAGGCAATGGGGAGGATCAAGGCCAAAGTAATCTCTGGCAAGAGATCCTCTAAGGCCTCTGACAAGGAGGCAAAACGAAGACACCAGGCCCTAGAGAAACAATTCTCCAGAGCTGAAAAGTGACAAAACATAGCAGGAGACAAACTGGCATCTCCTGACACAGAGGCAGAGATATTTGGCTCTTTGCAGGTTTCGGGAGCCCCAAGATCCGGGCCTCTGGAAACAGGCCGACCCAGATCAGGCGGAGAGGTCCCCCCTAAGCGAAAGGCCTGAAAGCCCAGAGGCAACCTTTACATACACAGCAGAGGGACTTTGCCTCTCAGACAGTCAGGGAGCCTTATCATCTAAACACTTGCAGTCCCTGATATCTCAGGCCGTCACACAAGGCATAGCTTCCACAATGCATCAAAGACCCAGGGCTGAATTTGTAGCATCAAGAGGTCGATCCTATCTATCCCAAGAGGAAGATATGGCATACCAAAGATCGATTTCTCCATCTCAATCTTCTAGAAGCAGAATGTCCCTCACTGGGGACTATGAACAAACGGACCGGGGCTGTCAGAGGATGAAGACATATCCCCAGACACCCCCCCCCAACGTTCGTAGGCCTCTTCAATCCGGCCCTCTTCAAATCATTGCTCCACAAGGCCAACAGCACGGCAAAAATTAGACGGGCAAGAGACCCTCAGGAGGG